TGTGTGTGTGTGTGTGTGTGTGTGTGTGTGTGTGTGTGTGTGTGTGTTGGAGATGGGATGGTTTCTTGAGTTCTTCCAGATCATTCCTGTTCAAAAACAAGATTAAACACTATTGCTCTCTCCTACTTAGGTTGTCTTAGTCTTTAAGGCCAAATGAAAACATTTGAATCAACTATAGCCCATGAAGTGATATTGGACTTTTTTCCTTCCCCAAATCTTTGGATTTTGGCTTAAGTCTTTGTCTTAAGTCTGCATCCCTCTGCAGTGTGATTCACAGCATACCAAAAAGGACTAGCAAGCATGATAGTGGTAGAGTTTGACATGAGGTAACATTTTATTAGCAGCACCCAAATGAGAAAAAGATAGGTTGACGGTTAGAAAGATTAAATGTGGGATGAACAGTAAAAAAGGGTGGGGATGCTCTCATAAATGTTATAATCCTACTGTGAAAATTGTTATTTCTACTTGCAATGCATCCCTGTAACAGGGCCCTAAGCCTCGGTAAGCCCCAAGACCTTAGCACAACTGACTGCATGATGGAAGTACCGTTTAGGCTGCAAAACTCAACACCACCTGCCAATATTAAAACAAAGGCCTAATTCATCAAAGTCCTTTGTTCTGGGGAAGTCTTTAAACTAACGCTGGTTGTTGTTGTTGTTTTTTTGTTTTTTGGCTTCTGTACTTCCACTTCTAGCTAGCTTTTCTCATTAACTGAAGTATGTCAACTCAGAACATAGGTTTTTTTGGAATTATTATTATTAAAAATTTTCACCTCCTCCCCTCCTTGCATTTTCCTCCCCCTCCCTCCACGTTCCCTCTCCCTCCCTGTCCAGTCCAAAGAGTGGTCAGGGTTTCCTGCCCTGTGGGAAGTCTAAGGTCCTCCCCGCTCCATCCAGGTCTATGAAGGTGAGCATCCAAACAGACTAGGCTCCCACAAAGCCAGTCCATGAAGTAGAATCAAAACCCAGTGCCATTGTCCTTGGCTTCTCAGTCAGCCTTCATTGCCAGCCACATTCAAAGAGTCCAATTTGATCACATGCTCCATCAGTTCCAGTCCAACTGGCCTTGGTGAGCTCCCATTATACCAGCCCCGCCGTTTCAGTGGGTGGGTGCATCCCTTGTGTCCTGACTTCCTTACTCATGTTCTCCCCCCTTCTCCTCCTCATTTGAACCTTGGGAGCTCAGTCCAGTGCTCCAATGTGGGTCTCTGTCTCTATCTCCATCCATCGCCAGATGAGGGTTCTATGGTGATATGCAAGATATTCATCAGTGTAGCTATAGGATAGGGCCAGTTCAGGTGCCCTCTCTTCAGTTGCTCAAGGAACAAGCTGGGGACATCTCTTTGGACACCTGGGAACCCCTCTAGAGTCCAGTCTCTTGTCAACCCTAAAATGGCTCCCTTAATTAAGATATATACTTCCGTGCTCCCATATCCACTCTTCCTCCAACCCAACCATCCCATTCTCCCAAGCTCTCCCCATCTTCCCCTTCTCACTTCTCTCTCCCCATCTCCCCTTACCCCCACCCCACCCCACCCCCAAGCTCTCAATTTTTGCCTGGCAATCTTGTCTACTTCCAATATCCAGGAGAATAACTACATGTTTTTCTTTGGGTTCACCTTCCAATTTAGCTTCTCTAGGATCACGAATTATAGACTCAATGTCCTTTATTTATGGCTAGAACCCACTTATGAGTGAGTACATACCATATTCATCTTTTTGGGTCTGGGTTACCTCACTCAGGATAATGTTTTCTATTTCCATCCATTTGCATGCAAAATTCAAGATGTCATTGTTTTTTACTGCTGAGTAGTACTCTAATGCATATATATTCCACACTTTCTTTATCCATTCTTCCATTGAGGGACATCTAGGTTGTTTCCAGGTCCTGGCTATTACAAATAAGAACTCCTACAGCTGATAAATACCTTCAGTGATGTGGCAGGATACAAGATCAACTCAAAAAAATCAGTAGCCCTCCTATACACAAAGGATAGAGAAGCAGAGAGGGAATTCAGCAAAACTTCACTTTTTACAATAGCCACAAATAGCATAAAGTATCTTGGGGTAACTCTAACCAAGGAGGTCAAAGATCTATTTGACAAGAACTTTAAGGCATTGAAGAAAGAAACTGAACAGAACATAGTTTTTGAGGTTAAAATCTCATCCTCAGAAAGACTTGAGGCTACACTGGAATCCCGAACACCTAATGTAGTCTCAAGCGAATAAAGACTTTCTATTGACTTAAACCTATGTCTGAGCAGTCTTTTCTGATGATTACCCTACAACAGCCCTCACACTATTGTTTTTCAGAGCAGAATTTTGGCTTCTCAAAATGACAGAATTACTTAACGTATCTCTGTAAACGTCCATCCCCACAACAGCTGTGGGCCCAGGAGAGGCTGGCTGATAAGTGGAAGGAAGAAAAATAGAGAAGAAACATAGCTAAAGAGTAATTTATGTAAATGGAGAGAGGGTGGGAAACATGGCAATATGATACTTTCTTCAGTTATGTTTCCAACATAAGAAGAGATCGTTAATTAAAAACAACTTTACAATGAATCAAAGATAATAGTAGATGATATTAACAACTTGCAAAAAAAAACTGTGGGCACATTCTTTAGGCAAATCCCTGAGCTAAAATTTAATATGAATTCTTTCATTTAATCCCCAAAATCCCCAAAATACTTACTACACATCTGTAAGTAACTGGCTGCAGGCCTTCTTGTTGGTGTCAAAATTTCTTGACCCATTGTGTAAAGGGGTTTCCGATGCAAATATAACTTGTGCAATACTCTCAAATATGTCCAGTCATCTCTAGAAGACATACAATACCTAATTCAATATAAGTGCTATGATTATTATAGTTTTTCTGTATTGTTTTTTTGCTTGTTTGGATTTTTTCTGTTTCATTTTTAGGACATGATAATACTATGTATCTTTGGGATTGCCTGAGTTCACTGTGTAAACTAGATTGGCCTTGAATTTGCACAGACCCACCTCCCTCTGACTCCCAAATGCTGGGATTAATGGTGTGTGCCACCATGGTAAAGGTGTGTGCCGCTGTATTCTTTTTATGATGATGACAAAGATAAAAGTCTGTACTCATTCAACAAAGAGCTATTTTTTTAAATATACATTTTGAGCTAAGATTTGGTTGAATCTACAGATCTGAAGACTCCAGGTTTGGAGAGCTAACTGTAGTTTTAAAGGTGAGTCTTGTTTTTAGCTCCCCTTGCTGATTAGGGAGTTTCCACATAGGAAAACTAGATAATTCATCCAAGACCACAAAGCTGAAAGCAACAGAAACTGGATTTGTAGCCCTGGATCTGCCTTGCTTAGATCAAGGTAGTGTGTGGAGAGTGCAGAAGTCAAGCACAGATGAAACCAAGAGTAGGGTTCCTAACTGACCTGTCAAGTCCTTGCTGAGGTTAAGGTATCAACAGCTGTAAGTTACAGTATCACTACACTGCTTGAAGTGACTGACTGGACATGAACTAGATCAAGATAAGTGTAAAACAAGGAAGAGTACAGGTTCTGTTACACTGGTTCCTCACCTTAAATTAAGTGAGAAGTTAAAAGGTGAGTCTGAAATCTTTAGCTAAATAGAGAACAATACCAAAAAGAGTGTGTGATCTACCACTCTGGACCACCATGATTCAACCACATGGGAGAGAAAAAACTAGGCCGATCAATAAGCCACAGGCATACACACACACACACACACACACACACACACACACACACACACACGATGTATGAGAAGGGAAAAAAGTCACTCAGGTGGGAGAAATGGGAGATTGGAACTTAAATATCCAAAAGAAAGAAACCTGATGTCCCTTGAAATAAGGACAATATGGGGAAACTGTGCCTTCTAATACCAAGTGCAGGAGTCTGGAAGCCCAGAGACTGTGACTGTTCTTCAAAATAAAAGTCTCATCCACTGATGACTCATGTAACATGGTATTTTGTCATATTAGTATGTTTGATAACATATAATAAAGGAAAAATAATATATCACCAATAAGTATTATTTTTTGAACATTATAAAGCCCTGCTAAGGCAACTGAGTGCAACCCACCAATTCTCACTAACAGGTACTGCAAGACATTCCCTAAAAAGAATCACAGATACCAAAAAGGGACAAGGAGAAAAACAAGAAGGAATAGAAAGCTTCTGTCCTACCCTGATAAAGATGGAAGAGCAGGGAGATTACAACCCCGACCTCTTTTAGAAATGAAGTAAGGGCAGATTGTAGAACATGCCTCAGCCTGACAAATGTCACCTCAGATATGGGATCAGAAAAACAGTAGAAAAGGACCTGAAATACTTCATCTCAGTTTGAAGGTTTTATGGGTCTGGGACACTCTGTGGGAGGTGAGTGGTTTTGGTTTTAGTTTGTTGTTCTAAATTTAGTTTTGATAGCTAAATTTATTTTTTATTAAATAGTCACAGAAAAACCTATCCCAATTGGGGATTGATAGCAAACCACTATTAAAAGGGACTACATGACCATGGTGGTAACACAACTGGGCAGTGATGTCACATGCCTTTAATCCCAGTTCTCAGGAGGCAGAGTCAGGCAGATCTCTGTGAGTCTGGCCAGTCTGGTCTACAGAGTGAGTTGCAGGACAGCCACAGCAGTTACACAAAGAAACCCTGTCTCAAGAAAAAAACTACATGAAAACCCATGGAACTTTGATTCCTGGATTTGCAACATTGGTGTAGGAGGTTCTCCTTTCTATGTGTTGCTTTCATTGGTCAAATAAAGAAACTGCCTTCGTCTTTTGATAGAGCAGAAACTTAGATAGGCAGGAAAAAAAGAACTAGATGCTGGGAGGAAAAAAAGAGACAGAGAACCTACCACAATGAAGCTGCCAGATCAGACATGCTGAATCTTTCCCAATAAGCCACGAGCTCGTGGTGACATGCATATTATTAGAAATGGGTTAATTAAGATGTGAGAGTTAGTCAATATGAGGCTAGAAATAATGGGCCAGGCGGTGCTTAAATGAATATAGTCTCCGTGTAATTATTACAGGGTTAAGCTAGCCGGGCGATGGGAAACAGCCCACCTCTCCTTTTACTACACAACATTGCAACATTTCATGTTCTATCTTTCAGATAAGCATGGTGTTCTAGTTAGTGAAGGCCTTGAGTCTATAGGGAGCTTTTGAAGAGAATTTCAGGTCACAGAGCTAAATTTTACAACACCCATTTCCATATCTATCAGACTCCAGAATGCTCCATACTTTTTGCCATTTTTGTAAACATGCCAGTCTCTGATTGAACATATTGGCACGTTTCTGCCTGTAACACATTAAGTACCACTGTCAATGCACTGGCAATGAGCGATGGAAGTGGTTTATGGACAGTTCCCATTACAATCAACAAGAATTATTACAAAGTGACCTCGGTCAAACTCTTTAGTATCTCAAAGACTCATGCAGCTGGGAGGAGGGATCAAAATGGGAAACAGTCTTTCCCAGTTTTGTCTCAATATAAAATTTTACATCATGTCAAAACATCTTCCACCGACTCTGTTGTTTTGTTTTGCTCCCTAGCAACGATCATTATCAGAACTTCTATATAAATGAGCATGAAAAAATATACTAGTGTCTTAGTTGAGTTTTTATTGTTGAGATAAAATGCCATGAAAAAAAGCCACCCTTCACTCACAACTCATCATCAAAGGAAGTCAGACAGTAAGGTAAGTAGGGTAAGAACTTGGAATAGGAGAGAGCACAGGAGAGTGCTGCTTACTGGCTTGCTTCTCAAGGCTCACTCAGATGCTGTTTTAGACCATTAGCCTATGTGTGGCCCCATCACACATAGTTGATTGGACTATCTCAATCAACTTTTTTGTTGTTGTTGCTGTTGTTTTGTTTTTATTTTTTAAGACATGGTTTCTCTGGTAATAGTCCTAGCTATCCTGGAACTAACTCTTGTAGACCAGGCTGGCCTCAAACTCACAGAGATCTGCCTATCTCTGTCTCCTGAGTGCTGGGATTAAAGGTATGTGCCGCCATTGCCCGGCCCAATCACCAATTTTTAGAATGTCCTACAGACTTGTCTACTGCCTGATCTTAAGATGGAAGCATCTCAATTGAGGTTCCCTTCTCTAAGTTGACATAAAAACAAGTAAACACAGACACTCTATACCCATAAAACCTTTACAATCTTTTTTATTATAAAACAAATGTACAGTACACAGCTATTTGCCTACAACATAATTACTTTGAGTGATCTCAGGAATCTATAGAGTTCATCAAAACTCTTCCAAGTCTTGTGTAATGGCACATTCTCTTTTCCTTGGTCCTTCTAACCTTCCTGTGGTGAAGGCCCTCTGCAACCTAGGAATGGCTGAATTACTCAAAGGAAGATATTCAAATGGGGCACCACTGTTACCTTCCATTGGTTGTTCAGAACAAAACAATGGGCCCAAGAGTCCATGAAGGAGATGCAGAGAGAACTCTTTACATGTCCCTTTCCCTCATCAATTTCCCAGTGCCAAATGAAGGAGACTTGGGAGCTGTCCAGGACACAGGCAGTGGGGTAAATCTCCCAGTCTTCAGCCAAGTTATGGCCAGGGTCCCTCCTGCTGACTGACTCCTTACAGACACCTGGAGTCCACTCTTGCTGTTTCCCCAAATCAGCTTCCTGGAAGACCAAGGAAACATGAGAGCTTTGCAGGACACTGGTCAAAAGGGTGAATCTTGAGGATCTTTCGCCAAGTTATTACCAGGCTTCCCACAGCAAACATGCCTCAAGTCATTAAAGGGCACCAAGGAGGGTTCACCACTCTCATCTTCCAGAGCCATGTCCTCTGAGCACAGCCCCAAGGGTCCATTGGTTGCTCCCCGAGGGAGCCGCGCTGCTTAATTAGAATGATCAACTCGCTAATCACCCACTCATGCAAGGTAGGTCTCTGGTTTTCTTCTCGGCACATGGGACAGGTCAATATCAATTCTTCCTTCCTTGCCATTCAATTCTGTGTTCAATCAAAGCAGAATATATGGATACAGGAGAGATAACCAGGATTAGAGTGAAAGTCCAGACAAATTGGACAGACTGCCTCCACTTCCAAACTGCAGTCCAGAGTCCACATCTCAGGCAAAACAATCATTTGTTCAGTTTCTGGAAGCAACTGATAGTCTTTAGTACACAATATGTTCTTTGACACACAGGATCTATCGAAATCCACTATAAATATTGAAAACTGTAAATATTAATTTACATAGTTCTAGGTGATACTAGATCACCAAAGAATCATAGTTAAGTTTATCATCTGTGGGATTTTAAAGAGCTATCTAGTGGTCCAAAATCCAGGTAGTTAGAAAAAGGGAAACAAAGCAGCTGGTGTCCTTCCAGTCAGGCTAGCATACTCTCTGAACCATTGAACTCTCCTGGATCTTTCTTTTTTTCTTTTTTTTTTTTTTTGTTTTTTCAGGACAAGGTTTCTCATTAGTTATGGAAAACTGGAACTCACTCTGTAGACCAGGCTGGCCTCCAACTCACAGAGATCTGCCTGCCTCTGTCTCCCGAGCATTGTGATTAAAGGCATGTGTCACCACTGCCTGGCTTCCTTCTGTATCTTTCATTGATCTAGATGGGAATGCAAGGTTTTCCACCATCCACACTGTCAGTATTTCTTTCTAAGGTACTAACTCTTTTGTTTTGTTTCTAATCCTTATCTAAATTAATTCATAAAAGCAAACTCAACCCTAGTCTATTTAACACAGACCAGATGAGTCTAAGGAAGTCTCAGAATTGCAGAGAAAATGACCACATGAGAATAAGACCAGCAAAATCCACTGAAGTACAAGGGAGATGCAGGAGACTTGGCGTCAACTATCTCAGGATGTACTTAATATCTTTACCAAGAAAGAAAAGTCACTGGCATTTGTAAAAGGTTTGTTTTCCAGGATTATCTATCAGCTCAAATGATCAGCAATAATTAATACAAAGATTAAAGGTGGTGTGTGTGTGTGTGTGTGTGTGTGTGTGTAAAGCATAGAAAAGTATCTGAAAATAATATTTAAAATCAGAAAATAATAATTCTAAAACTATACACACACATTTCTTAAAAGCACAAAAGCACACGCGGCATGTGTCTGAAGTGCAAGGCCAGCCTGGGCAATGCAAAATTTGTTTCAAAAGGAAAACAAAATTCATAGGTGTATTTCATTGCGAAAAGTCCCCTGAAGTCCTCTTGTGAAACACGTAAGTGATGATGTTAGAGTCAGACTTCCCAGACAGTGTGCAACTCCTCTTTCCTTGTCTGAATACTAAAAATAAAGACACAACAAATGCTGTAATGAGAGAGAAACAGGATTGTGAAGACAGCCGTCCTGAAGGGTTAGCTTACCTAGATGGTGGTTTCCAGCCGAAGACTTATGGTCTGACCTAGGCGCTTCTTGATTCACCTGCCCAAGCTCTTGGTTGAAGTGAGTTTAGGTCCTAAGGCCCAAGCCTCTTATAGTGCCTGAGAGAGTCTCCACCCACAATGAGTCATAAGCTCCACCCACAATGTGAGTCAAAGGTTCCCTCTCTCAGTTGTTTTACTTAAGTCTAATCAAAACTTATCAGTGATGGAGGCAGTGGTTGTGGCCCACACCTTTGGTTCCAGCACTCAGGAAGAGAAGGTGGATCTCTGTGAGTTCAAGGTTAGGCTGGTCTATAGAATGAGTTCCAGGACAGCCAGGACTACACAGAGACTGTGTCTTGAAAAATCAAAAACTTAAATAAATAAATCATTTTTAAAAATCTAATCAAGTAAACATTGTAGAATCAATGGATTAGAATATCTTCTATGCACACTGTTTAGAAACTGTCAAAGAATTATACTTCTACACAATTAGATATCATTAAAGGCCACCTAACAATTATACAGTATGTCATAGTAATTCTTGAGTTAAAATGGCAAAACTGCAGCCATCCAAATGATATTCTACTACTTTCAGAACTCAACTTTTAGAAACAAAACATACCAGAAATCAAATTTAACCTTGTCTGATGTGTACTAATGTAAATATGTCTGATACAATAAAACATAGCAGGATCTAAAAACAATTTCTATGTACCTTAACTCAACAGTTCTACTTTGGGGGTGAACTAGACAGGATAAGAAAAACATCCCTCAAAGTGACACTGTGCACCTGCTATAATTATTCATAATGTAATTAATTATTCACCTTTATTCTCAGAAATGTCCTTGCTTAAGCAACAAATCATGTGGTATCTGTATTGGGCAAGAAACAGTAAGTTCTTAGCATTCTTGTTCCTTCAAATGTGTGTTTTGATACACACATCCATTTCTGAGTGATTGAGTTGCACTGATTAAGATATGTATCATTTTTCCATAGCTGCCAGTTTGGGAATGTCTCTTGGACATTTTCAAGTATACTATACACTGTTATTAATTGTAGTCACTATAAATAAAACAGCTCTTTAGAATTACTCCTCCCATTATCCAATAATCCCTACTTGCGTGGTAACAGTATCACCGTCTACTTGTATGTACTGAGATTTTTTTTTTAACATTTCATACATGAGTAAGACCATGCCATGACCATCTTGGGGAGACCGGGTAAAATATAAATAATGACCTCTATTTCAGCCTACAGTTGCAAACAGCAGAACTTTTTTCTTTCTAAGACTATTCAGTATCCCATTGTGAATATTAACACAGTTTTTATTGATTCATTTTACACTGATGGATTTTACATTGAGTCTATCACAGTTGTCATGAATAGTGCCAAAATGAATTTGGGACTCTGCATATTTCTGTATTGTATTTATTTCCTGCTCTTTTGGGTATACAGAGGAATTGCTGGACCATAAGGCAGCTGATTTTCATAAAGATTGTATTGATTTACATTAGTTGTGTGACAAAACTTTTGCTGGGAAGATGTAGTGTCCCAGATAGGAAACCCACAACAGACCAAAGTGTAGTAGATACCACTGAAGTCTAATTTGGTGAACCAATGAGTTTCATTGTCATTGTTTACAGTAATATAGGTGAAGGATTGCTTATGGGAGCAGAAATGACTCAAAGACATCTGCATCATCAAAGCCTACACCAGCATGGGTACTGCCAAAGCCAAGAACCTGAAAAACACTGAATATCTACAGGCAGCTCAGTGAATTGGGTCCTTTCCAGGTGCTTCTGTTGGACTGACTCTGTTCCAGGCAGCTCTGCTGGTTTCTGCCTCTTCCAGGCAGCTGGTCTGCTCTCAGGGTCTTCTTAAAACTTCACCCTTCTCAGAGTCTTCTTCGCAGCTCAGTTTCCTGGTCTGAGATGGAGTCTCCACTTTGATAGCTTACGGTGGCCCAGAGGGAACCTAGTGAATCTGGCCAGTTTCAAGGACGTCATGAAGCTTCTTGAGTTTACCTTCCTGTTTCCAGGTATGAGAAGGCTAACTGTCTTTACACACATATACCATCAAGAGCACCAAAAAGGTTTTGTAGCCAGCAGAGACAGGTGGATCTCTGTGAGTTCAAGGCCAGCCTGGTCTACAGAGTGGGTTCCAGAACAGTTAGGAAAATACAGTGAGACTGTCTCAAAAAAAAAAAAAAAATGAAGGGGGGGGGGGGGGGGGGAGGGAGGGAAGGAGGGAGGGAAGGAGGAAAGAAAGGAGTTGGATAAAGGGATGGAGGAGGGAGGGAAGAATAAAGGGAGGAGGAAGGGAGTGAGGGAGGAACAAAGGGAGGGAGGAAAAGAGGGAGGAAGAAATGAAAGAAAGAAGGAAATTAGAATTGATGTGTTTTTATAACAGAGCCCTATTATGTAACCCAAGCTAGTCGCCAACTCATGACAACCCTGTCTCAGGTTCCTCCCAAAGGATTGTCAGTATGTGTCACTGGTACAGTATGCCAGAAAAACTGAGGGAAAATTAAATTTGGTTAAATCATTTTAGCAGAGCCATTACAAGTTAATATGAAATAGTCTTATTTAAAAAAAAAGAAAAAGAAATCTGTTTTCTAAAACAATAAGCAATTGTTGAGAAAGCCAGATAATTTCACAAACCTTATAATTATTGCTAGAAGATGGCTGATTCTCACACCTATTTCTCTTCAATCTGATTTGATATGTTCTTTTGATTGATGTATGAAAAATATTATTTACACAGATATTTGGTGAGGAAAAATGGGGTAAATGTGACTTGCAGATCCCCTAAAAGGAATTTGAGGATCCCCGGGACTCTCTTCTACTAATTGGGAAAGGCTATTCTGCAACACACTGGGGAAGTCTTGCTAGCAATGGATCTCAACAGCAAAGCCCCCAGCAGTGCATCCCACCATGGATGTGGCTCAGGCCAATTGTAGATTCAGCTGACGCAGTAATACAAAATACATCTCCTCCTTTTCCTCCTCCGTAAGGATGAAATGTGTTCCATGTTTTCCATTTACTTTATAGTCTGTGGTGATGAAGCCAAGTCAGGCCATCCTCCCTCACTCAACAGATGTTTAACACCAATGAAACCATCATTTCTCATTGGTTTGCTCATTTTTCAGCTGGCTTTGGTGGTGGCTTAAGCCTACTGAAGCTACTCAGCTTTTTTTCCCCCAGGAGAAATATCTTCTTGCCAGAAATATTCACTTTAGTGCCCAACTCTTTCTTATTACTGAAATTCTGAGTTCAAAGAGAAATATCCTTTTTAAAAAATCCAAGTGCTGAAACTATATGAAGTCAGTAATCTGTGATGCCTTAATACCTTCATGAAAGTATATCAAAATGTATAGGACTTTCTACTTTTAAAATGTAATTATCATTAGACCGTTCATGTGTTAACATCAAATCATAAATTTAGCTTGTTTCCATAGCATTCTAATTCAAGAAGGAATCAGCTCTCATTCATGGTAGTTAAATATAATGCAGCCCCTTCCCAGGAGACAAGAATAATCATCAGCCCAGTCAGGTCACCCTCTGCTACATCCGGTGCCAGCCTGGGCTACATAAGACCCTGCATCAAATAAAAAACAAAAGGAGTGGTTTTCCACTTCAAAAGGCAGCTTCGGTAGTGGGCAGCTTTCCTCCTCAAGTTCCGTTCCCGGGTGTGGTACCACTCCAGTGTGCAGCAGCTCCTTTGTTCTGCAGCTTCTGCATCCTTTTCTCATCACGCCCCTCCATCTCATTTCACATGAAAATGGACCCTTCTGTCTATCTGGGAAGAGATGGAGGGTGTCTCTGAATTATTAATGCCAGCAAAGCTCACAAGCAGAGTTCCATCAGTCCCCTCTGCCAACAACTGTCCTTCGTACAGAGGGTAAGCATCACAAAGAGGATATTTTCAGCACGTAGAATTTGCAGAATGTTCCTCTTCTACATCAACCATAGAGGAGAAAGACTATCAAATGCCAGATATACTTAGACTCCACACACAGGGGCAACTGCCCCTTCTGCAGTCCTGTACATGAACCTCAAGCCTGATCACTCAGCCCTGTACATTTCATTAGAAGACCTGAACACAAAAAACCCTGGGTCGTATTGACATGCCTTCTTCCCAAGCTGTACATACATGTGTAGGAACTGATATGCAGTTCCCTGTTCATAACATGGCTTCCTTCCTTTTTTCCATTTCTTTGCTGTTGTGTTGTTGTTGTTGTTGTTGTTGTTGTTGTATGTTCTTCTTGCTGTTCAAGATAGTTTCTTTGTGTAGCATTGGCTGTCCTGGAACTTGTTTGCTCTGTAGACAACCCTGCCTCGCTAAGTGCTAGTGTTAAAGGCCTTGGCCACCACTGCCCAGTTTTGTTTTTGTTTCCAATACATTCAAACTACAGTTTCCCCTCCCTCCACTTCTCCCAGTCCCTGCCCTGTCCTCTTCCCAAAATTCCCTCCTCCTCCATTTTCCTTCAGAAAAGAGCAGGCCTCTCAAGAATAACACTGAACAAGGCACAAGAAGATACAGTAAGACTAGGCACAGACCCTAGTATAAAGGTTGGTTGAGGCAACCCAGTAGGAAGAAAAAGGTCCCAAGAGCAGGCTGAATAGTCAGAGGCATACCCACTCCCACTGTTAGGAGACTCACAAAAGCTTTTTTCTAGACATTGTTTTGCGGTGGAGCACTGGATGTCCTGGAAGTCACTTTGTAGATCAGGCTGGAATCAAACTCAGAGATCTGCCTGTCTCTGCCTCCTGAGTACTGAGATAAAAGGCGTGAGTGATAACTGAGCTTCTCAAACTCTTTCCAATACTAAACACTTTTCCCTCAAGAAATGTTTTATCTT